CCCTAGTATGACTGTATAACTATTAGTACTAGCAAGGAAAAAGTGTCTTCAAATCAATGAAATTACTTAAACCGAATTCTGATCGCGACAACATCATAATACTTTTAAGATGTTGTCAATCAGGGTTATAAATGAAAAAGGGAGACAAAAGAAAAATACTTATCTATTGAGACTTGAATTTCAATTGTATCTTTCTAGAATACGCTTTCTAGCGTCAATATTACATTATATAGCAGCTCAAATCCTCGATATTTAGGTTCATAAAAGAAAACAATTAAAACAAAGGTACTTTTTGTTAAATGGCAATTACAGTAAAAATAACTATGAGAGCGTTTTAAATTAAAATACTACTACTTTTAATCATGATTTTAACATGAATTTATATCTTGCGACATTTAACGGTAGTGTTGCGACATTTAACGGTAGCGGAAATTCGTGCGACATTTAACGATAACATTGCGACATTTAACAGTAAATGATTTTGCGACATTTAGCGGCAGTTGCGACATTTAGCGGTTTTGGTGCGACCTTTAGCGGTAAATGCGACATTTAGCGGCGTTGCGACATATAACGGCGCCACATGCATATATAATTTTTGCAAGTGTGGTATACACACAGTAACAATATCAATTACAAAACATACAGAATCTTTTAAGTGTGGTATACAAAAAATAGCCAAACCGCATAGCTCAATCGGTTAGAGCGCGTGACTTGACACTGTGGGTTCGATCCCCGGGCTGGCCAACTAAAATTACTAATCAGTCTTTCAGATGAGACTTTAAATCGAGGTCCCGTGTATGAGTGCTTAAACACTTGGCACACAAATGGTATACAACCTCAATTACAACAGACAGGATCTTTAAAGTAAATTTTGGTTTCCATCTCCATCTCGTAAATCCTAATGATTTTTACGGTCATGTTATTTTATGAAAGTAAATTTAAATTTTGCTTAAATGTGCTTTAAAATGTCCGCATTTTTAATTTGTGGCCATTTTGAATGCCGTCCTGAGACTAAAAAAAGAAACTGACAGGAGTAAAATTTGATGTAACTGTTAATTTACAACAAAAGACAGTGTATAACCTAAGCCAATCAAAACTTACTTGTTATTTTAGGTAACATTTCAGGTTTTGCAAAACGACGTATCTGTTTCACCAAAACCGCTGCCAGTCAGCAATGAGACGAGATGACCTTCGTATTTTCCTAAAATTACTATATACGTGTTTGAAAATTACTCCTGCCATAATTCAACGTGCATTTCATCTTATTATGCACTTGTTGAGTATGATAATTAAATTCTTAAAATATGGCATCCATCTTTGAAAGCACCTTAAATGTTTCATTTGACCCAGCCTGATTTTTTCAATCTACAACATTCAACATAGAAAGAATTACATGTATAGCTAATTAATTCAGAAATGTTACCTTCCTTTAATATAACTAGAAATAAGGTAAATCCAGATTTTTATTGGGTTTATAACATATCCTATCGTATAAGGAACTTGTTTCTTATTAGATGGATATATGCGTTGCGCGCAATCTATACAATTATTTGCACATCACGCGAGTTCATGGGTAAGACTTAAACAATATGTTATTTAATTTATTATAACAATCAATACCCATCATACATATTTATACTGAACGACCATCAATAATAGAATATGAGAATATGAAACATTGTAATGCATTGTAAATTGCAAATTGCAACCCTAAGATATAACAAATTTAAATAATCTATCGTATGCTATCGTTAGCCGACTAAATACATTTCCTTTTTTTTAGTTCACAAATGCCATTAACTACAAGATATCATTTTAAAATATCCCCAAAGTGCGGTCGTCTGCCTGATGTTGAAAATGCATATGTACCAGTGTTACGCACTTTGGGGTTAAACTTTGACACCAAAGTGCCTAACGCACGGACCCCAAAGTGCGTTTGACTCCAAAGTGCGGTGTTACACGGCATGATAATAAAATGAAAAAAAAATAAATAATAATAACCACTTCAGTTGCGTATGAAATGGTGTGCGTTAATAATTTCATATTGTTTTATCAACAATTCTCTAATCTACAGCTATGAAAACAATAAAAATTGTCATTATTTTCAACCCAGTTTAACTACAAAGTGTTCTAATATCTGATCACATAGCCGTTATCAGTATGCGTCCCAGTTTTATTTTGTTGACGCACGGACGCACGATCGTTATTGTTTCATTCGGGAGTTAGCTGAGATACAGGATGGATCGTAAGGAGACTTTTATCTCCTGCCCTGTCTGTAAGACCAGGTATGTGTCGTTATTTACAGTATTTACCTCCTCCTCTTCATCATTATCATCATCATCATCATCATCGCTGACTTCATCAATCATCATTATCACCATCGTCACCATCATCATCATTATCGCCATCGTCATCATCATCATCACTATCGTAAACGCCATTGTCATTTTTACAAGAGCCACGGTCTGTTGAGTAAACACTTTCTTTGGCATCGTCAATTTGCAGTGTCATGTTGCCTGTTAAAAAACATATGGTCAAATATTTCGAAAAAGATATGTGATATGGTTTGTTTTGAATAATGCACAGGTCAATTAAGCTGGTATTCAGGATGCCCGTGCAAGAATTTTCATAATAAGCATTTATGCTGGTTCAACTGTGATAAATATTTATTTCCAGTCATGTTGCACCTCTGAACGGACGGAATGATGGCGTATTTGCATCTACTTGTGAACACTGCGGGCATTTCTTCAAGTTTAGGTCCGTGGCACCATACAAGTCATCCATTACTTTCAGTGTCAATGGCAAACAAGTAACAGGTACGATTAAACTTGATCAGATTCTAAGTAGATCATTATGACACTTCGACACAAAAAATGCACATTTACAATTTACGTAAGGCATATGCCACCAAACTATAGATTTATTTCAACTCTGTTGTCGAAAAATGCTGGAACGTTACAAAGTATTTGCGATAGATTTATATTCAATGATGAATGGTTCTGTCCAAATTGAAAGAAGGACAATTCCAAGATAGAAAGCGTGTTAAGGGTTAACTCAATCTGAGGGTACGTACATCTTCCCTTTACTTGAATATAGGACAGTTTCAGCAATCAGTTTATTTTTTGCTCTTTTTTAAGATTTTTAAATTGTCATTAGTTTTATCTATTCAGACAGTACTAAATATATTAATAAAATCATATATTTTCATTATTTTAGTGGGTACAGAGTATGATTCTTCATCAACATTGAATGATTTCCTCCGGCAGTCTCGTATCTCCATGGGAACTAAGGTGTTCTGTAAGCAAGGAGGCTGCGGCATCTGTATTGTTGTTGCTAAAATGACCTTGAACCCCAATGGTACTCCAGTTACTGCAAACATCAACTCGGTATGTGCTTAAACTTTAGTCGTTGTTTTGACGACTCGTATGTTGTCCTTGTAACATTTACGAGGCAAAATCATTGTATATATAGATTATAATATTAACAAATACGGGGTTTATGTATTGATATATCCTTTTTTGCTGGCGATTTATCGCTGGACTATTGTAGCCATATTTTCACAAGCGTGCAACATATTCTGAAGGCAACTCGCCGGAAACAATTCAGCATATACGCATGCGCAAATTAGTCCAATATAAAGGCCTACTTTTACAGAATTAGCCATGGATAAGCTTTTCGTCATATGTTATGTCACTGCCGTGAAACATGTACGCTGATAATCGTTACATAATCTAATGTATTATTTTATACGATATCTTTGTAACAAAACGACATTAAATAAAAAAATATCAGGAAATTTTCTGGTGCATGGCTGAAAAAAGATATGAGCCGCGTCACGACAAAAGCAACATAATGGGTTTGCGACCAGCATGGATCCAGACCAGCCTGCGCATCCGCGCAGTCTGATCAGGATCAATGCTGTTCGCTATCAGGCTGGTCTGGATCCATGCTGCAGCCAATTGTATAAACGATGGTTAAAATATACCACGGTAAGTAAATTACCGCGGTATATATTGTGGTTAGGTAACCGCGCGGTTATTCCATTTGTATAAATAAATTAACCACAAGGTAACCTAACCACGCAAAACTGAAAATTTAACCATGGTAATATTACCAATGATGCACCAGGATGTGACGTAATTTTCGCGGACAAACGTCAGACATTGTATGTCTTGTTGAATAGTGCTCTTTTATGTTCAATGCTTGACTTTGATATTATGAATTATTAAATTCTTTTGCTGCATTTATTGCTAGATAATGATGAAATGGAAAAAGAATGATCTAATTCTAATTTATTTTATCATAAAATGTGAAAAGATATACAGCGGGAAATTTTCAAAAGAAACCCCAAAAAAACAATTTAGCCATACTGTAGGCCTACGTATTTTAATTGTTGTCTATAAAATTTAAAAATAATATGCTATAGATCTAGATCTACTGAACAAGTAAACGGTTAAATTGTTTATACAATTGGCTGCTGGTCGCAAACCCATTATGTTGGTTTTGTCATGGCACGGCTCATATCTTGATTGATATCAGTGTCTTTCATATCATATATAAATAACCCTTATGATTTATATAGACTGCTTTAAACTATCACAAAATTCCCATAAAGCATTGCGAATTGAATAAACTATCTCAAATAATCAGATTGATATCATATAGTTTTACATATTTTTATACCTCTCCGATCCTCTTCTATACATTTTCAGTGTTTGTGTCCGCTGTTTGTTTGTGATGGTTGGGAGATCACGACCGTGGAAGGACTGGGTTCTACTAGGACGCAGATGCACAAAATTCAGTCGACCCTGTCAGGATTTGGTGGTACCCAGTGCGGATACTGTAGCCCTGGGCATGTTATGAACATGTATGGGTAAGTAAAACGACACCAAGTCCTAAGTCTAAGCCATCTGGTGACAACAGTTACTGATTTAACTCATGCGACCTGTGCAGACAAAGATCCGCCGTTACACCTATGTGCCGTCTGATCAAAGTCTGCACTGTTTGTTTTTCAATATGTACAAACTTTTTCTTCTAAAATAGATGATTTTCTCAAGATTAAAAACTAGTCAAAGATAGCTTGCATGTAAGGGCTATGTTATATAATGAGAATATTAGATAGAAGATTAAAGTACATGTATAGTGAAGTACCTAAACATTTGTTGATTTGAAAAGATGTTAATGCGTGTAATAACTATGATATCAAATGATAAAAATGAGATACAGATAAACGCACTGACATTTCTTTATCAAGATTACAAGTACAATACAAATGTATTTATCTTGTTTAATTATCAACTTTATTGGGCTACATATTGACCTGAAAGTAATTTTAAAATTTACAAAATCAATATTAACGGAAAGGTGGGTAGGTCAACGAACGTGCCCGTTTTCGCGTTAGAGCAATGTGACTTTCCTTTCCTATATCATGACCTTGATTACCAGCGCCTCTGTGAAAATTAACCCAACCTTAATTGAAAGCAGCATTTCTTAATGACGCAAAATGTCGAATGATCTTTTTGAATGTTACCAAGTAGTCAGTTACCTGAATTTATCACATAAAACGCGGCGCGGGAGTGTAATAAAGCAATTTAATAAAAACGATATTACACTATAAGTCTGTCCCATCAAATTTGAACATTCCATTTTTTATTTAATATAATAGTAAAATCATTTAAATTAATGTCATCTTAACCCTGACGTCAATATCTCTAGGCATGTTTTTCATTTTTTTCATAAAGTCAGTAATATGGTCTAAATGTTAAAATTATATTTTTCCCCGTTGACTTACGTTGTAACCTGACGTGACGTCCATTTCAAAATGGCGGCGCCCATATAGACGTCATTTAGGGTTCGTCTCACAATTACGGTGAAATGTACTCGTTAATTATAAAAATTTGATTATATTTATTTAATTACTGATCAATAGCTAAATGTTATCATTAAAATGAAAAATGAGAACAATGTTGGTGTCAAAAAGGCAATTTTACTAGCAAACTATTATTAAAACAATCAAAATCATTTAAAGCTAAAATATCGCTAACCGCTTTATAAATTCTTACACACAAAGATTAAATTAATAACCATGATAAACTGTCGTATTTTTTAAGATAAAAAAGAACAATGAAGTAATTTGATTAGATAGCTTTCCAACAAAGTGCGTATCTTACCGCAGCATGTCGTAGGGAGCGGGAACACTAGCTAGAAAATGATAAACAATATCAACAAGGAAAGGCGGCGTTCAATGAACGTAACCCCCACATGACCCAGCTAGAAGACTATAAAAATGGTTCTTTGCTATTTAATGTTTAATTTACACAATTCTTTAGTTGTCTGAATTCTGTCCATTAGTATGTATCACTTCTATTCAAAAATAATTAAATTGACCAGGTTCGATGGGATACAAGAATATGTTACCCTTCTTATTTCGGGTGCGATGTCCGTGTGCTAAAACTTTCCGTAGGTTTCAACTTTCACAAAAAATCGCCAACAAATACTACTTTATCATGCAAATCTGACAAGAAATATATAGAAAGGAAAACTGATTCACTATACGTTCAGAATTGGTTTGCTTGTTACCACAGTGTCTACTTAAACTAACTCCCTGGCTAATGAGAGAACACAGACTCGCGTTCGAGGAAAATGTTAAATTATAAGAATATATATATATATAATATCATGCTTTCTAGTTTGAGCAATCAAACGTAGCCCTATACACTTTAAGTTTGTAAATACAAATTTAACTTCCCGTCTCACAATTCAACAAAATGTCAGTGATTTCACTGATTTGATATTATTAAGAATAAGTTTGAATAAATTGAATTGGAGTGTTCAATAAGCGACAATAAGTGTGTTTTTTTAGACTCAAAGTGTTACATATAATTATTATGTTAATATGAAGGGGAGATCGAGTCAAAGAGAAACACCGAGTGACTTTCTCAATAATTTTAGCCTTCCTAAAATTTAAAAAATATTCAGTGAAAATACAATAGATCTAGCATATTTTTCGCGGGAGAAAAATACGGCATATTGTATATTTTGTAGCTAAAATAGTAGGATTTACAGAAGTCATGAAAAACGAGATTATATGTAGAGAAATTATTTCTGAGAAACAGGTAAAATAGTTTAAAACATAAAATCAAAACGAATGTAATATGTAATTAATGGAAGAAGTATTGTACTGTTGTAGATTCATGTCATTAAGTGTGTTTAAAATTATCTAGATGATCTTAATGTTATCAAAAGTTTTATTATTCATATATGAATTGAAGGTGTATTTTTACAGTTAAGTTGCAAAATCTGGGTATACAAAAATTATTTTAAATTCCATCAAGACAAATTTATCTCAACGCTTAAAATTATCTGTTTGAGGTTACATAATGCCTAGCCGCTCTCTGTCAATGCCGCAACTGGAATCGCGAGGCATTTTTGTTACGTCATATATTTCGTAAATTGTTGTTGACGTAATAAAGTTTCGTCTGGAATCCATTTTCAAGAGTTATAAGCATTGTGATGTTGATAACTAAAATTGATGGGCCGTTCTTGAATTATGGATTTGGAACATAATGAATTATGATGTGTTTCATTTACATATTTCATTTGCTAACCCAGATAACTCCACAAATTGAACAATGTTTTAATAATGAGACGGATTAATAGTTTAAAAATCTGGATCATCATAAGTGTAGGAGTCATGTCATTTAGGAGTTTCGAAGTAGAAAAAATCGGATCTACGGAACTGGATAGATACTGGCAATGAAGGAATCTTCAGAAGGGACGTTTATAAATATCTATTCTGAAATTCATAGGAATTCTATTCAGCTTAAAAGTAAGTGTAATTTCTAGATATTTTATCCATTTGACTCGGTGTTCTTGTTGCTTATTTTTCATTTTTTAAAGTTTTTCATCATGCATTGCAACTAAACTGTTACATCTTGTAGATCCAGCTTTGTAAACTAATCATGAAACGACCCCGAGAACTTCATGTATATTTTAGAAACATGACACGTGCTTTCTCCCGTTCATCTTCAAATGAAGAGTACTTCGGCAATGAGTGAGACTAAATAAAGGATTGGAGCACCACACTAAATACCGTATTCCGGTAAATACCGGAACAAAGGCCCGCTTGAATCGGTAAAATGCCAAAAAATCTTGCTTTTTTAAACGCAACGGAATGAAACTTTAAAATAGGTCTAAGGGTAATAGAAAGAGGCCCCACCGAAACACGAGGCTATCTGATTTGTACGAGGGGGGCCGTAGCCCCCCCAAGAGAAATTAATCAGATTGCCGAAGTGTTTTGGTTCTTTCCTTTTTTTGTATCAAAATAGTCAAACATAAAAGCACGTTCCCTGTTGTCACAATATGAAACCCCGGCCCCAAAATGAACCAAACATGAACGAAATCTGAATATGACATTTTCTGTCGCTTTCCTTTCTCTGCCGTCAAAATATGTAAACCCCAGGCAAAAAAATGAGCCAATCAAATTGGGCATGCTCTGGGTTTGCGGGTAACTAATAACCCGCACTCCAGTTAACGCACTGTGCATGTATATGTATACGATTTAACCCTGACACATTTTCAACAGAAAGGTCTCCAAACTATGATACAATTCATCTTTTCACTCTGATTTATGTATGATAATGCATGAAAAATGTTAAAATCAGCGAAAAAAACGATATTTGTCTATTTTGTGATCATGATTTCTGCAAGCGTCTAAAGGTACTGCTCCAATCCTGTATTGAGCTAAATCCTTCGGCAATGGCTACGGAAAATAAACAACAGAGATTTTCCATAGAGAAATCAAAATTTGCTTTCACAAGAAAAGTAGACATTTTAGAGTAAAATCCTGAAAAATCTCGAGGGTGACTTTTTTTTAGTTTACAAAAATAGTTAAATTTTTATTCAACCTCGTTTTGTTAATTCACACCAGGCAAAAGTTCATTTCCATTTTTAATGGGACAGACTATAGTGTAATAACACTTTGACGTGACGTCATTTGCGCTATATAGAAACATAGCGTTAAAGCGCGCTAATGTTAGCGTTACACTATAGGCGCGTCATTGAAAAATTACTCATTTTAACAGTTTACTGTTCTTATTTTATATATGTGATAAATAGAATATTATATTCGTGTAGATTCAATACTAAATTTATTGAACTCGTTGAATAAAACAATATTATGCTCGCCAGAGGCTCGCATAATATGATTTTATTCAACTCGTTCAATAAATTTAGTATTAAACTACACTCATTCAATATCCTCTATATCTAACTCAAAGCTATAAGGAAATCAATTTTACAAATGAATGACAAAAATATTAAATTGATCTTATTTACTCAAAACATGCTAAAATGACGCTTTTTAAAGTCATAGCATGAATTTCTGTATATATATTATATATTTTGGGTATAAAGCATAATTATATCTTTATATGTAGTATGAAATTCAGACCTAGTAAATTTTAAAACAACTACTATGACTAGAAAAAAAAAACCTTTGGAAATTACAGTAACACATATTGATTGAAGTTAATCTTAGACATTCATTTGATGACAGGTAGATCTACTTTAACGTTTTCAGAGTTCTCTTTAACAACTATTGTAAAATGCTATAACCTTGTTATTCTTTATAAGAAGAAAAGTTTGGTTCCTGTGACTGCTTAGACTAAGTGTATTTATTTCGACGACATTTATAGAATATCTAAAGATAAATTCAAATCAAAGAAACGAAAATTTTGCCTGTGTCTCCTTTTAAAGAATAATAAAAAGTTTGAATTGTTATAGGTTGATGCAACAGTACCCGAACGCTACAAAACAAGATATAGAGGACAATTTTGAGGGCAATCTTTGCAGATGTACAGGTAAATTTTAGTCTAACTCTTATAAAGAAAATATATCCTTGAAAATTCTTAGAAACTAATTATTTTAGCGGTCTCAAACGTTTATTCACGACTCTAAGCCAATTAAAATAAACGTTAATTCATGACTGAGCCAATAAATCATCCAATAACCACAATGTAAGCTACATGTACTTGAACACAATCCTAATAACCGATACAAACTTTCTTGTCAATTTTCAACTTAGTCAACCTGTGTGCGAACATTTTGCCTTCAATACTTAAATGCGATCGGTTAAGGGGCAAAACGTTTGCTCTACCGTTTCTCCGGAAAAAGCAGATAATTCACCAGCACTTAACCATTCACCTGCTGAATTTCTTAAATGAAGTAGCGCAGCTTTCATTTTTATGACTGTCCATTGTAAATTTTTGGAATCTCAAAATGATAAATTTAAAGTGAGTCAGCAGGTCAAACTGCGCGGGAGTTGTGTGTTTGGTTTGTTCAACCTCGCCAATGTTCAACCTCGCCAACGGAATAAACCATATGGACCAGCAAACAGCACGGATGTGCAGCCTGGCCTGGCTTTATACTGGTGGCAAAGGCTTATCACTTCCGGTTTCAGCAGAGTTATAGTTTAAGTTTTATTTTGCTATTTATATATTTCGAGTTATTACATGGATTTTAGGTTATCGCCCCATTCTTGATGCCATGAAGTCTTTAGTTCCGGCCACAACCACGGATATAGAGGTTAGAGGCAATACATCTTATACAAGATTTAATAACTAATTTAAGAAATTTTACGATGTATTTTGCTTCTTTTATAGACTGATAAACATCTTTAGCGCTATAGTTTTTAATCATACATCTTTAGAGCGTATTTTCTTCTGAAAGTAAAAAGTACCCCATAAAATCATTATATTACAATAAACTATCATTGTTATTATCGTACAGCAACCACAACAAATAAAGGGAAAGAAAAGAAAGAAAGAAAAGACGTGTCGACAAACATGCGAAATATTATCTAGAAAAAAAGATAATAACTTTCAAAGTGTACATCAGTACATGCATTTGAAGGCGATATACATTTGCCCACTCGTCTTTTCGTATCCAAATTAAAAACGGTTTGAAAGTGCGATAGCATGTTTACTTAAATAGCCTTCTCAATCTCTGGTATTTTGAAAAATATTTATATGCACAAATGTATATTAGATTTTAGCTGTAATAATTTAGCTCGTATCTCAATATCTTACATAATGGATATACCAGAGACTTTTATTAGACCGTAATATTAAGCTCCGTGTATATACATATGATTGTGCATATTTTGACAATTTTATGACATTTAAAACAACCATATTTATTTTTGTCTTTCTTTTAATGTATTTTATATACATGTCTATTAAAAGTTAAAGAATCACCATTATATTTCTTCCTAACCTAATATAGGATTTATCAAGAAAACTTTGTCAGACCACGGGTAAACCTTGTGGGTCCCGAACTGGAAGCTGCGGTGGTGGATGCCAGAACCATAGCGACTCTCGATCTATCAAAATGGTGTTCGGTGATACTAGGTGGCAGAAAGCAACAAATCTTGCGGATCTATATCAGATGTTGAGTGCGGCTAGTGGGCAGAAAGTTCGACTCCTGGGTGCTAACACAGGCACAGGTACATTCTTGTGAACAATACCAAATCTTAATTATCATATAAACTTAACATTCCAAATATTTTGTCATTGTTGAAGATAGAATACTACTTTCGCATGTATGAATTATAATTATTTGATACTCGACTTTTTGTACTCAATCAAGGTCTTCTTTATCACTGTTTATTTTCTACATACCGATCTTACAAATACAGAAAAAGTACATGTATTAAATTGTCGCCGTTCCTTGTAATAAGACAGCTTGCCCTTTTAGCCAATCAAAACGTAGAATTTATTACCACATGATATCAAAATGGCCGACAAAAGACATGAAAAGGAGTATCTACGGTGCTCGCCATCCACAATTTTTTTGTCGGGTTTTCTATATACAGATTTGAAGTACTTGATATCTTCAAGTATGAAGTGTAGGTCCTACATGGTAAACAATACAAGTACATTGAATATTAGATTTTCTCTTTAAAGAAGAAACATTTAATTAACTCCATTCAGGAAGGAGTCTATTTCACGAAAAAATAGTTTTCGAATACTCGACTGAACGACAATTCCTAGCATATTTGGAAATGCTAAATTGCTAATATTTGTGTAAGAATGTGAACATACCGATTTATTAACATAACTATTTTAGGTTATTTTGAGGACGAGGCTATCAAGAACTTTGACGTTGTTATTGATATATCAGGAGTACCAGAATTATATGTGAATACCCATGACGTAAGTTGTATATACAATATGATTATAGAAACAAAATAATAAATATCAAGGATGTGGCAAATAAATGTCTAAAAAATCATTCAATTAAAACCTTTATCAATTCAAAGTGCACAAAGTACGTAACTATGATATTTTGCTCTGTGCTGATTTGTCTTATCATTACAATTCCCGTTTTTTTTTTCAAATAAACTATACTGTAATTATCATACATTTGCATTTGATGCAATAAAGACATGTATAGTGAAATAATATATTTGTTGTTTTTTTTTGGCACTACATCAGGAATTACAAATTCTAGAAAATATCTAAAACATGTATAACAGTTATTTCATAAAGAACTGTATGCAACCACGTCCTCGGACATGCACACAATATAATTCCATGCTGAGAAATATTTTTATTTAATCCAGTCGCAGACCAAGACGTTCACATTAGGTTCATGTTTGAGTCTCACTAATTTGATGGAGCTTTTCAAAAGTGAGGCAGCCAAGGTCGGGGCAACCCAGAACTTTGACGAACTGAAGAAGTATCTGTATAGAGTCGCTTCATCTCCTATAAGGAACGTACGTAACTATATCATAACTTTAACCCTTTAAAGACAGATTCTACCGATGCGACCAGTGCAGACCATGACCAACCAGTCGGCTCATGGCTGCCACTGTTTGCTATTCAGTTATTGCATACTTTGCAAATTTTCCCTTAAAAATGGTCCATAGGTTTGATCAGATTGAAAGATGGACAAGTCCATTTCACTTATTTTAAGTTATTCAATTTACTTTAAACATTTATACTTTGGATATGTGATAAACAGAGTATTATAATTGTGAAGCTTCATTTCTAAATTTATTGAACTTGTTCAATAAATTAATATCATTTTATTCAACTCGTTCAATAAATTCAATGTTGAACCAACACTCAATCAATATTTTCTTTGTATAAGTTAGATTTATGAAGTGTGAGAAAAAAAAAGAAAGTATATTATAATGTCTTTCAGAAGAAATATATATAATAATTACAGCGCTACCAACATATCACAATTTTTTATTAGTGAAAAAGTTTTTACTTTGTTTTTAGACAGAGAAGTTCACAATATGACTAAAATTCAGATCATCTTTCGTTTAACATAAAGTAAATTTGTCGTTTAGGAGTTGATTTTAAACGGGTGATATACATTCACTCCGTTGTTTCTACAGTGAAAAGTAGCATTTATAATTTTTTAATAATGTAATTATGTAATGATCTCATTTAATAGAATATGTACATTCTTTGACATTTACAGAGAGGAACATGGTCGGGTAACTTGATGTTAAAGAATAAATATCACAGCTTCCCGTCGGACGTGTTCAACATAATGACAGTTCTAGGAGCTTCACTCACCATAGGTTTGTTTAATTTGTTTAATTGGGGTTTACTTACACTGACACAGTATATGTCATATGGCGACTTTCCAGCTTTACTGGTGGAGGAAGACCTCATGTGCCCTTCCGTGCATTATTTCAGGCACGAACAGGCACCTGAGTAGAACCAAAGACATTTCCGTAAGCTAGCTTGATAGCTTCCTCACATGAAATAATCCAAAGTCCTTGTCGGGATTCGAACCCACAGCGGTGAAGGGCAAGTGGTTTATAGTCAACGACCTTAACCATTTTGTTAATAGTAGAACATCAATTTTCATTACGTTAATTTACATGACGTTACTTCACGTGACTTTACTTTATAATTATATCTCGCGTTTCTTTACTTATCGTTACTTTATAAGACTGACTAGGAAACAAATTAACACCAGTTAGTGATTGTGCCATGGAGTGTGATTGTGCCATGGAGTTGCCTGACACACGTGACTACTTTGTGAAGTTGTTTTAACTTATGACACAAATAAGCAAGTATATAACATAAATGACAAAAGTTATCCTATTATTATTATTATTTTTATTATTATTATTATCAGGTCCAACACCACAAAGTGTTGTAACATGCGAGGCATTCTACAATACGGATATGACAGGTAAATGTTTGACAAAGGCAACATTTACAGAGTTTGGACCCAATGATGTCGTCGCTTGTTTCAAGGTCATGCCAAGGTCACAGGTAAATTGTTCACTTTTTAACTTGCTCGGAATGTACATTGGTCTGTCCAAAATATGCAAATGTTAAATACAAGTGCAAACCGAAAAAAGAAGACATTCGGAATCAAAATTTGAAAAGAAAAGTAGTGCAGAACTTACTAAGCGCAGCTGAGTTATGCATAAAGCATTATTACAGACCATTTAATTATAAATCATCTAATTAATGCAACGGCAAAATGTAAAGCATACATCCGCTCTTTAGTCAGATCAAATATTTTTAGTTATACGCTATACTTTTGCGTATAATATTGTATAGTCATACTTAATTAATAAATTAAACGAGACTTACCTGGAAGTTGAAGTTCAATTATTATTCTACTGCTACTGGACCACAGGGTTTAATGAGATGAACATATGATCTTATCAGATGACCAAGCAGACTTTCAGAGCATACATAATTATGCAAAATGCGACAATATGGCTTATACATATGGGTGGGGTAACCGGGTGGGCATTAAACCCTGTGGTCCAGTAGCATTAGAATAATAATTGAACTTCAACTTCCAGGTAAGTCTCGTTTAATTTATTAATTCTACTGCACTGGACCACCTAGGGTTAATGAGATTTTAGAGACCATGCTCGCATTTTGACAAGTCGTTAAGAATTCATAACCAAGTAAAATGATTACGTATTCAATCTACGACTATTAACTTTTCAAAAACTGAAAATATGATGCACAAAATAAAGTGTGCAATAGCCATATACATAAAATGCTGTAAAAGTAACAATCATTATAAAAGAATACTATTCCCTATTTCTACTGTGCGGAAAAGGTCATTTGGCTTGCTGCAATAGCCCTGCTGCAATGTTACATTGCATAATTTATATTTCTTATTGTAAACAGAAAATTGCAAACAAGTTTGACATTAAATGGTATACACATATACGTGTAGCATAAAATTCTTTCACATGTAGTGATATTCGAAGTTTTCAATGGTTTAAAAGCAACACATTTATGCTTTAAATTATAATTTCTTTAGGCATGATTCTGATATCTTGCAAAATCAGTGTTTTGAAATTACTGATCTGCCCATTCAGCCTAAACTTGCCATTATTCGTTTATATTATTTACATTCCTTTTTTTTTCACATTCTGCACTATATTTACTTCAGATTAAAGTTAGATTATAAGTAAATCACATGTTTTTAATGCATTACGACAACAGTATAAAATGCATTTCCCCCCTTTTTTAAGGGAAATTGTGATTTTTCTGAGGCTTTATCTGTTTCTTTAAAAGAAAGAGGTATCACGGGTTTCCGTCACAAATATCTAATAAAGATAAGAATACCATAAAAACCACATATGATTTCAAACAACTCTCTCGCAATTATATAATGCGAAAGACGTATATATGTGAAGAACTCACATTACATGTTTTCTTCAATAAACACATGTATATTATTTTCAAATTCAGCTCTGTATTGCAGTTACAGTACATGTTTCTATGGTTCACGTTTTCGATTCCACTCGATACAGGATAGAATATAATGAAACAAACAAATGAATTTGTTCATATTTCCTGAATTATAAATATTATTATTTTTGTTCAGAATCAATCAATTAATTGGTTAACTAAGTCATCAAATGATTTATTTATTTATTTAAAAATGATAATGAAAACTACCAAAACAAATGGCTGCATCTCTTATCACAACTTACTTATTCAGTTGTTTGAAAAACAAAACCCAAAACTAGTAATTCTATGACCATGCCATTTGGTAGAATAAACTGCTTAGTGTTTTCCTTTCCCCAGGCAATGACGAGTACTGTACCACATCTACACATATTATGAATTTAAATCTTCCATTTCTTTTTCAAACCTTATAACATTTTTAGTTGACTTATTAACATGCAGACTACAAATATAAATGCGCGCATCAACCGTAGAAATATTTCATAAACTAAATAGCAGTTTTCATGATATAATTAATATTTTCATTGAAACTTGTTGTTTCATTCAGTACCTCTTTTCTTTTTCTTTCTTTTTATATCAAAATTTTAATGACACTTTGACAGCCCTAGCAAATCAAGATTTTGTTGAGTAGGTCCGGACCAATTCCTCTCTCAGGAGTGATTTAATAGAGTGCCAGGTTACGAGAACCCCATGGCTCGATACCCATTGATTCCTTTTGTTTGGAGAGGGCCGAAACTCACGAACCACAAGGCCTCCCGCACCCTTTTAAACATGATCGAAGCCTTTAAGGCAGATCAATTTTAAATTGTCCATGGCCACAATCCCCACAGCACCGCGGAAAGGAATTAGACACATTCTCTCATAATTATGACCACAAGTGTGGGTGCTAGAAAATTTATGACATCCATTATGTTGGGTTTGTCGGGGACAAACTGGATAGAGCAGTCCACCTCATACTCAACGCGGCGGATTGAGGATGGACAATATAGTGAAATCATGTTTGTCCTAGAGTATCAAAATATACATCAAACTTTGATATTGTAAATACCTACTATATCTTATTTTCATGTTAAATATATTTAAACTGTGTCCTATTATCCTTCATTTTTTTAATAGTCCATATAGATCTGTTAAAGTATTTATCTTATAAAAGTTGAAGTTTTCGTAACGTATGTCACTGAAATAAAACAAAGCGGGCAGAAAGAATCAACTGAGTTAAAGCTAAAAGCGATTACGGAGGCACCATTTTTGATTGCTTAAAGTCACAGGAGGATTACCCCCATATAGAGTTTAATGTTCTCATTTTTTTTAAAAAGTGACACAAGACCTGTTTTTCTTGGTAATCAAATATAATTCCCTTATTTCTTACAGCCTTATGAAATAATAAAATTTCCTAGTAAAGGAAAATTACGATTAGCTCCACTACCAGATGCAGAACAAAACTTTATAGAAACTTCCTACGTTTGCCTCAAAACAAAAGAAAAGTAATACATGATAGTTATATTTTAGCTAACCCCCTCCAATATGCAAACAAACAATACATAATTTAAAGCGTACTTATGCTTTGACGTACAAACGAGGCTACAATTAATTAACGTACGCTGCAGTTTCCCAGGGATAAGTCTGATGATAAGACACTCAACAAAAACAATTCACTGTAGAGGGCTCCCAGTGAGAGATTTATCTGAAGATGTAGTAAATGTAATACAGTAAGAAAACCTTATCTAAACCATAGCTAAAATACTGCACATTACAGCTTTGTATAAACCATCATTATTGTAATGAATGGTAAAACAATTGGTTTTCGTAGGTTTGTCCAAAAGTACAACAACCAGTGCAAATGAATACCTAAAGATTTTTTTTTTTTCCATCTTATTAGTTTATTTTATTAATATTCATTAATTCATTTATTTATTTTTTTCTTATGTTTTTTACTGTAGTATATAGCTTGAGCAAAAATTTCAATGCATGCGAACTTACTAAAATCAGAAACATGTATTTAATTATGACTAGTTAGCATGTCTTATGTAACCCTTTCTTCAGATGAAGTTAAAAATTCTGAGGATTAGAAAATATATCGAGTGATTTATTAGGAACTATTCTAATTTTTCTTCCTCAACATTTCAGCTATCTTATATATTCATAGTTCTTTCCTTTCGATATAGAACATGTGCATTTTCTTTAAAATGAAAGCAGTTCTTTACATTCCGATCACATATATAGTCTAGTGAGATATACAGGCTCATAGAGAATTTATCAAATAATAATAATTTTTCATTATTGATCTGTCTAAGAAGAAGTAGCGATAGAAGTAGTTGAAAATTTAATCAACATTACAAAATGTAGCATGGGTAAAATATCCGAAGTGTTTCTAGAGTATTGTAAAACAAGTAGTTCATTACTCACGATTCTCGTTTTTACTTTATTACTTGCATACCTTGTATTCAGCCCCTGCTATTCTTACCTCACACTATATTACAACCAATGTTATTCAATATGTGTTTACTTTCCGTAAAGAAAGTTACAATTCCTTCATAAGATCAGCTCCAAATGGTGCGTTTTCCCAAGAGCAAATTTGGAGTCACAGTTTTTTTACATTTCTATGCAAAAACTTTCTTCAGCCATATTTGATCTTCCTATATAACAAATTTGGAGTATTCAGGTTTTGACAATTTATGCAAAATTTGCTTCTACATATTCCTTCTTGTATGACAAATGTTGAGTACTCGCGGTTTGACATTTTTATGCCAAAACTTGCTCCAACATATTCCATCTTATATAACAAATTTGGAGAACTTCAGGTTTGGATATTTATTGCAAAAAATTGCTCTAACATATTCACTTTTTATATAGATAACTAATTTGTAGTGCACGGTTTTGACATTTTTATGCAAAACTAGCTCCAGCATATTCCTCTTATATAACAAATGTGGAGTACAAAGTTTTCTTGACATTTCTATGCAAAACTAGCTCCAGCATCTTCCCTCTTATATAACAAATGTGGAGTACAAAGTTCTTGACATTTCTATGCAAAACTAGCTCCAGCATATTCCTCTTATATAACAAATTTGGAATACATAATTCTTGACATTTCTATGCAAAACTAGCTCCAGCATATTTCCCTCTTATATAACAAATGTGGAGTACAAAAAGTTCTTGACATTTCTATGCAAAACTAGCTCCAGCATATTCCTCTTATATAACAAATTTGGAATACATAGTTCTTGACATTTCTATGCAAAAACTAGCTCCAGCATATTCCCTCTTATATAACAAATTTGGAGTACACGAGTTATCCCCTTGGACATTACTATGCATTTAAACCTAAGCTCCAGCATACTTCATCTTATATAAATAAATTGGAGTACAACAAGTTTCTTTGAGGGATACTTATGCAGGGAAGAGCTAGCTCCAAAATTTCCTGTCTTAATGTAAAATTTATGGAAGTACGCACAGTTCTTTGAAATTTGCACAGATATCTTGAAACATTTTTATAGACAAACTAAGCTATCCATTTATAGTTCCTCTTATGTAGACAAATGTTTCGGAAGGTACACACTAGTCTTTGCCACATTTGTCTAGGCAAAGGACAGGGTACTCAAGTATATTCCTCTTATATAAAAACTTATAAAAACCATTTTTGTGTGCAAATAAAATCTCTACAATACGCCCAAAACAACAAAACTGAAAATGTTGCAGGCTTGGTTTGAATGAGACTGTTCAAGGATGATACTGTAAAATGCAAGTTAATGTTCATCCGCCCAAAGCATGTTAAAGATATACTATACTAATCTGAGAGTAAAATATTTTTATTGAAATCTATGTATACTTTCTCAATATGTCTAATTTTAATAAAAGAATGTACAAACTGTGTGTAGGAAGCTGCATATCCTATTACAGGTTAGGTAAAGTTGACCCTTTCTAATAAGAAAAAACTGTTTTTTTTTTTTTTTTTTTTTTTTTGTTTTTTTTTTGTTTTTTTGTTGTTGTTGACACTATACATTCTTATTTGCCTATGAAATTTGTGTATAGCTTTAGACATACGATATCTAAAAAATGTATATGTTATATTTAAAAAGAGACTGTGTAGCAATTATCAATATTTAAAAATACAAAATTTGAGCATATTATATCTTTAAATCAAATAATATGTTATTATAACTTATTCATACAGTTACCCAACTAAACACATTGGTATCATAGAATTATTTTTGTTAGCAAGGGGCTGATATTTTCTTATATCAAGTAAGATTTAAAAAAGTGAATACTGCAGCAATCTTTTTTCACCAATAAAATAAGAGTCTTATTAATTATACGCTGTGACATGTGCAATTTCGTTGGCCTAAGAAACATGAATTTGGTATGTTCGCGGCTCAAGAAATTAAATTGTTAAAAAGTATATGATTAATTCTATCTATGTCTTGTTAACTTCAAGTTAAAGCAATATTGTCTTTGTTGATTGTAGGAGTAGTTGTAGCATAAAACTTGGGGAGGTTCAAATCATCTGTGTTGCAGATGGCCAAGGCTTCATACTGTTGTTCCATCATTTTCCATGATGACAAAAACAGATTTTCCTAATCTGTTGCAGAGTTAATATTGGACCTACTAGTCCCGCATTAACTCTAGACTTTCCAATTTCTGTTGCAGAGTATATATTGGACCTACTGTCCGCAAACTCTTGGAGTCGTCGCATGTATCGCCTCAGTAACTACTGTACTGGTTATAGCGACTGGTTGGGCTTTCTTGCAAAAGTGAAATTCCCTACTGGAAACTGACACTTTGCCCCATTCTTGTAGCAATCCATGTCTGGAAAAGTATAAATGGATATTCAAATCAAAAGCAGAAGACAATTGTTATTATCCAAAACATTGTCACTTTTAAATCAAACTACACAACAAATCAGAGTTTTATTTAATTCATTTCTTAGCAAAGTTATTAATCGTAATTGTTTACTACCATTCTAACACGCACACACACTTGACATCAAATTTTCCTAAATCTACATAATAACAACCCAGATTTAAACTCATAATTATGAGAATTAACTGCGGCAATCTGATAGCGAATCTTTTAGCGTTTCTGACTGGTCATCCTGATAAATCATATGCTCTATCCTCCTATTTTACTATGTGGGTGCCAGTGCAGTGGAGAATGTAGATGTCTAATATATATTTGTATGAATGTTTGGACCCACGGTGAACGGAGCGTTCCGATTAGCAGTTGACAAACTCAGGTTACCTTCTATTGACCAAGACATACCAATCTCATATCTATTGTGGAATCAATACTAATTTGTAAGTGTTGTCTTTTGTTTTTTTCTTTTTTTTAGATATTTTATTTTGTTTAACAATTTTACTAAAAATTAACTGTGAACCATTATTGAGAACAAAATCACATTTTTTTTGTGTGATGTACTCGAGTTTATATATCTTTAGATATCAGAGACGTTTTTATTTAAAACAAAACTTCAAGCATTGTACTTATTTGTACTCTCTATGTGGTAAATGACATTAAATGAGCGTGAAAAGGCTCAATATTTACCAGTATTGTAATATGCAATGACCACTTACTCTCAATAGTAAGACGTTCTTTTGAGCATTTCCACATAATACAGACATATTCTCAATTTCAGCACAGGGCAACAGCTACAGAACAATATCTGTACAGAAAACAGTTGTCGTCTCCTTCCACCATACAAGGTATAATGTCCAGTTTTTATTATTAAAGCTTGTTACACAATAAAAAGCTGTTGAATTTTAGATTGATTCATTTGACTATGACTGAGTCGATATATCTTTGGTCTATTTAATGTTCAGTGGTAAAAGACGTTCATGCATTTATCTCGTTAAAACATAAGTGTCCTCCTGTTTTGCAATCCAGTATTACGAGGCCTTGTTTATGCAGTACTTCGCCTCCAAATCAATTGCATTACCAGACGAACACTTGCTTACATACACGAGATGTAGGGGAGAATCTTATTTAGAATTATATCAAATCTAATTTAACGATGTCCATAGGAAGAAACTATTTATTTTTTATTAAGGGAATGTTATCTGCGTGTAACAATCTTTCCCAGCACGAAACAATCTTCCCTGTTTCATTAGTCGCCGGTAGAAACCGGCGACTATATTTGTAACAGTTTAATATTATACCTATGGTAGGAGAAGGCATTAATTTCTGTAAATAAAAGCATAACAATTACTGAACAATTAAAGACTTTTATTGTTTTCAGTAATCTCAAAAATTCAAACATACAATAATGTTGCTAAATGAAATGAAATATTCAAATACCGACATCGTAAAAAGCAACATTACAATATTTATAAAATGAATTAATGACGTATCCCTATGGACCAGTCATTGAATTTAGGGATGCTTTTACTTTTTTTAAAGTGTCAAGCGTTGCTATTTTATGATAAATAAATCATGCATGATATTTGAAATGACACTTTTAAATTATCTGGTTGTTTGTATCTTATGAGACCTATTCTATTTTTTATCTTATTTATTATAAACAGTTTCTCCCAGAATCACGTGACTACACGTTGTATGTTATTGTTATGAAATCTATTAATAGTAACAAATGGCTGGCAAGATAGACATACAGGTAACATGTGAATGATAAAGCTGATAAAGTGCAAATCAAAGTAATTTTGTATGAAAAATCTCGGTATGACAGTAGGGGTCGGAATCGTATTGGATACACAGAGAAAACTAATAAACCTACTTTTGTTGATAGTTTATCGCACTGAAAGGCAATTAAACATTAACTTTATCGTATGTATAGTCTGATTTTATTAACCTGTCAATTATAAATACATTATAGGACTCATTTAAATAATCGATCCCACTTCGGTTTGGTCCGTGTAGTTTACGAGAATTAATGTGGAGTATATAAGTCATGGATTGAAAGTCACGCCAACTTAATGTGAAGGTTTTCGTTAATTCACAATAGGACAGTCGGTAAAGAGAATGCCTGATAAATGAGAGGTCTGTGGTTCGATCCTCACTGTTGCCATTGTTTTAGTACTCTTTCTTTATTTTTGCAGAATATTTTTATGGAACAGATTTGTAGTGTGTTTTACGGCATTGAAAAGACATTTATTGATTTTAATCCGTTTTAATTTTAAATATGAATTCTTAAAAAACATGTTATTTCAAAAGAGTATATACATAACAAAATTAAGTAAAACATAAAAAAACGAACAACATATATTAATCATATAATTATAGATTCAATAATGTTAAAGTATTAATAAGAAAAAAAACATGGGCCAACGCGGCCTCGAACTTAAAACACGTTTGGCACTTAGATTATAAACTCGTGATTTACCCCATTGCGCTATAACGCTGAGTACACTTATTTTAGAGATACAAATTAAATTAAATTCCATCGTATAGCGTAAATCTCACCGAACTTACCGAACATCTACCGAAGATTAATATACTGTGTGCATCGACCGTGTAATCAGTATGTAATTGACAGGTTAATAAAACCAAACAATAACGACAGGAATATTGATTTCAGCTAAATAATATATTTTTTCGATATTGCATAAGAATAATTTGTTTATGCAGACACCACTTTTACAGTAGAATTGCATTGTTTTATGCAATAATTAAGCATATATATTTTCATAGCCACTTTGCCAATATTCGATGATCGGAAATAATTTGTCGGTAATTATCGGATGCTGAAGAAAACCATACGTACAACGGTATATGTATAAAGTAGAATTACAAGTAGAATTATAATCATATCAATTGCTTTACAAGCCTCGATGACAAGGTGTTAGATTTTAAGTTAGTTTCAAATTGAAGACTGTAGGTTCGATAAAGTGATTTTTTTATGTTTTCTTTTATAATACTTTTTGTATTTTGCAAAACTTGACCGTTTATCAAAATTATGAAATAAAAAAGTGCTAGAAATGAAACACACGATTTATCAACTTATATGCTTATTATGTTTCATAAAGTTAAAAGATATAATAAAAATCAATTTATGAAAACTACACACAGGATTTGTCCGAGATTCGAACTTGCGCCTACTACATGTAGGTTACAAGTAATAGAAAGAGCACCGAAACACGAGGCTATCTGATTTGTATTAATCAGATTGCCGAGTGTTTTGGTGTTCTTTCTCTTTTGTATCATAGTCAAACATAAAAGCACGTTCCCTGTTGTCACAATATGAAACCCCGGCAAAAATGAACCAATGAACGAACATCTGAATATGACATTTCTGTCGCTTTCCCTTTATCTGCCGTCACAATATGTAAACCCCAGCAAAAATGAACCAATCAATGGGCATGCTCTGGAGTGCGGGTAACTAATACCATCAAGAAAGATATAATTGTGGCAAGTAAATGAAAACGTGTTTATGAATAAACATTACTCAACTTATTGTTCCTCTTTTCTTTATACACTCTATTAAACTGATATTTTCTTTTATTTATGATAATACAATCATATTTCTATCCGGCGACTTGATGCTTTAGCATCAAAATCTCTACTTGTCTTCATTGTAATACTCTTCATCGCCACAGTGTACTAGATTGAGGCAAAGGGGCTTCTTTGTTGGTCTACTGGATCACTTCATCCTCGGTATTCAGGGCTTTTTACCAGTATACCGGTATTAAATATAGTATACACGGAATATTGACCGTGCGTTCTGACGATGGGTTAAGGTAGCATATTTTTTAAATTAAATTCAACAAGGGCCTTTTGGAATTTTAATGAGAAACTAATCAGCTGGCTTAAGAAAGGTTGGTGTCTTTAACGGGTGTGTGCTTGTTCATGAAATATGCACATATATATTAAAGATGAATTATTATTTATGATATGGTATTGACAGGTGCTCTGAATGTGCTAGCAAGTGAACTAAATCCTACAGCCGGGTCTGGTCTCACCAGTATATCTTATAGGAAGACGGTCGCGTGTGCTCTACTGTATAAGGTCAGTTGTTGATTGGTCAGTTTTCAAGTTGATCAATTAAAATGAAAATGTGAATGAAGTTTATAATTGTAACCGAAAACACACGCAATTAAGTCAATGCACAGAAATATATTATTTGTTCGCAGCATAATCATTTCAAGTTTAAAATAAAAATAGAAAAATATAAATGTTAAATAAAATATACATTGTCTTTCTTTTGATTCAAAACGATTATTTGTGAAAATAATGAAAATCAAAGGAGAATTTAAAACAAAATGAGTTAAACAGTTTATGTAATATATTTAATAAGCCATGAGTGATATAACCTGTATAACTAAATGTTCAAAAACATACCCAAATTTTCTTTATAAATGACAAAAAGAAGAAACGAAGTCTCACTGATGAAAACGCCATTATTGACTTTTTTATGTACAGTTTGTCCTGCGTGTACTTGGAAACACGGCCAGTTATCAATACAGAAGTGCTACAACGGTTCTACATGATATACGGCCCCTGTCGTCTGGTGTACAGTCATATGATACAAACAAACAAGAGTGGCCATTGAATGAACCGCTGAAGAAACTAGAGGCCGATATACAGGTTAGTGGAATACTTTATTGGCGTTTGCTTTTTCGTGATTTTTACAATTTGATTTACATAGACATGTAAACTACGGCTCTTCTACTAATGACTAGACAACTTATGAAGATTTCCCAGAAACAGTATATTATGATGATAAAGTTTCTCAAAGAAAGCAAATTTGTCACCCTTCTTTCAATTAGTCAGAAGATTTTGTTTTGATATTCTTAAAGATATTAAAAGGTGACTCTGAACCGGCTGGAAATAGAAGTGATACGCCTATACAACCAGTATAGAGCCAGACCAGCATGCACATTCATGCAGTCTGACAGGGCTCTGTTCTGTTGGTAATTTAAATTTTGTATTTTGATTTTGAAATCCCTTAAACTTTAAATGAACTATATGCAGGGCAAATCCATTAAGTTCAGAAAGTAGATTAAAGGGGTACTTAAATGGAATTAGATATACATGTTATGTATAATGTCATTGGTCATGATCGGGTTTTAAACAACTACATGTATAAGAAAATGCAAAAGAAAACTGTGAAAAAAGCGTATTTATTTATTTTAAACTGATACATTAGGCAAGGGGGATGTGGTTTCTATATATGGCACGATAAATCTGCCTCGAGGTTTTACAGTTGGTGTATTCCTATTGAGAGCTGCTGGTTCCGCTACAGGCTTTACGTGTATTATACCGTTCTCGTCTTTCTCGTGAGTGATTGGTTCCTGGAAAAGTTCCTCGATGGGTGCGCATGCGTCGCCGATACCACGTGACTTGATTAAGTCTGCAGTGAGATCATTGATGTATTTGTTGTTCAGGAAATCGTCATACCACGCGCTCTCTATCAGTCTTACCTTTTCCATTTCTTCTTTTACCTTTTCTATTTCCTCTGCAAATCGTTTTTGTTCTTCCTAGAAAAGTAAGAAATGGAGTTTTCCAAATTGTGTGTAAATATTAAAATATTTTTTTTTTTTAAAGAACAGTTTTGCTGTTTGGTCCTTTGGTCATATTGCCTTGTTGGTCAAAATCATGGTTTACAATAATGAGGAGTGCAAGATATTTTTTGTCATTTTACAACTATAAATAAATAAATAAATAAATAGATAAATAAATAAATAAGAGTATATTTTTTCGTTTGAGTGAAATATGGAATATATTTTCACGAAACATAATAAAATGCCACATATTTTCACGAGCTGGAACGACGAGTGAAAATATGTAGCATATAATCAAGTAGAGTACAGTAGTGTGCCACTGTCTCGCTGTATCATTTTTGTCTATTAAATTGTACTAAATCAAACACTAACAAGATCCAATAAGATTAAGACAAAAGCTTTTAAGACGAAATTTCATTTATTTCAATTATTCATTAGCTTTTTGACAATTTTTATTGAAAAATAAAAACAACAAAGAAAACACACAATATTTTAGTGATATAATTGACAAATATAAAATAAGGATTTACGGAAATGAACCATTAGTATGTTAAGAAAGCTCATTCTGTTTTCGCATATGCTTATAAACGTAAAATGTGACCATTACATATAATATAGTCACGAGACAATACAACAACATACACCACAAGTTATACCTGCACTTTTTCATGTTGTTTCCGGACAACTTCAAAGTCAATAACTACGTTTCCAACACCTATGGTCACAGTGTGCCTGTTGAACGGGAACTTATGTCGGGGCTGAAGTTACAAAGTTTATATAATTATGTAAAAAAGGAGAGATATATAAATTATCCTACAAATATTACGCGCGGACAGTGGAGTTTATTGTTGATTTTTCCTGAAAATAGAAACAATTTTTAAAAAGCAGGCAGATAATTGTTAAAATAAAGGCCCATTCAGCCTCAGAAATGCTATCATTATTGTTTTTAAAAAGCGTATTTTTATTGGTCTGTTAAAGTTTCCAAAATGTTACTCATAGGCCATATTGTTGAGACATCTTTTGCTTCTTTTGCGTTTTATTAATTAATACAGTTGTAGTGAATTAGTATGGAAGTGAAAATACTCCTTTGTTACATTGTGCTATCTTAATAACGAAATATTTTTACACTAAATTTCGTTTCTTCAGGTGGAAAAAAACCATCTCACATGTTTTAGATATTTGTCCTTTTTGCGGAAGGAAAATTAAAATTCATTTTGAGAAGCTTTATGGGCCTTTAAGAAAAAACGTAAACATACCACATTGTTGATGGCGATTGCAGGAGGTTGTAGCTTATAGTCTTGGAGATACTCTTGCCGTAACATATCGCGTATAAACTGGCAACCGTCAGAAACCTCTGGAAAAAATAAATACATTTATTTATACTTTTAGCAATAATTTCATCATTTTTATTTTTTACTTACAGTTATTTTAATTATAAAAGCACATGCTTAAAATCTAATTTTGACGCGAAAGACAACTGCAACACCATTCTGGGTTCTGTCATATAAATCATGGGTCCTGTTTAAAGCTTTTGATTTTTAACAACTTTTAGAAATATTAATTAACTACAGAAAGTAATATAAAAGGAACGCAAGATAATGTCTGATCAAGTTAAACTTTTTATTTAAAACCTACTACATGTAGTTTGGGGCATTCACTGTCATTATTCTAGGAAATATTGAGCAATGTTAGTGAAATAAGATTTTTGACATTTCAAATGCTAGTAAGACACAGTTTTTGTTGTTTATCAATTTTGAGCATAAAGGGACTCAACTGAGGTTGTTTGACATAATGGGACTGAAAATATTTTTATTCCAGATAAATGTACCATTTGATGTAGATTTAGACCACTAATCTTTGTGCAAAATTTCAGATCATTCGCGCACTTCTTTTTTCCAGAATTATTATTCAAATTGTAAAAAATAACCCACAATGAAAAGCGTTTTTAAACGCTTTTCACTCCAATCGGGCTAAGAAAAACATAAAAAATACGATTTTCAATTAAATTCAAAGTATATTTATTAACTTTCTTTGCATATATTTAAGTGCCCCAGCTTATTTATGTAAGAAATTAAAATGTTATGTTTTAAGGATATTAAACCTCAGTGGAGTCCCTTTAAATAAGATTTGTTAAATTTCAAATGTTAGACATATTTCAATTGTAGATCACAAAAAAGAAATTTTTCAATTAAATTTACCATTGTGATCAGGTTCTTCTTTAAAATCCTTGTAGTCCGTTTTTCTGATGTATTCACCATCCGACATAGGTCCCTCATATCTGGTTAAGGATGAAAGACAGCATCATACTTTTATAATATTCTTTTTCTTATAAATACTGGTCATAGATCGTATTCTATACGACCAATGCCTATAATTAACTTGTCTAGTTCTACTGAATTTTTGTAGTGAAATTTCGTACATTTAGATCTATATCTAAATGATTGTGTTATCTCTTCAATATTATAGAAATCTATAATTATGACGACCTCTATTTAGACAGATTTTTTTCTCTCTGACGAATCTATGAAAATTAAACAACGTAAAATTTATTCTTTTAATCAGAAAGCGCATTTCATAGGTACATGCTACATATGAAGTAAATATTTATTTAAATAAGTTTTTTTACGTTGCTGCATTTTGATATTGATTTATCACCTGTATTCATGAAATACATTCATAGATGTAGATCTACAAGTTATTTGACTTTTCAAATAGCTGTTAGCATGATTAAGTTAGCATCATACTAGTCTTATGATTAGTTTTACTAGCCCATTATGCCTCAGAAATGCTATCAAGTTATTGTTCAAAGGCTTCTTATTTTTGGTGCCCTGTCATCGATTCCACTATGTTAGTCATTGGCCATAAAGCCGAGGTATCCCACGCTTCTTTTACGTTTAAGCATTGAATTCATTTATTGTGATTTAGTATTTTGTAAGGTGCCCAAAGTCAAAATAATTATACTACTTTGTTACAGTAGAGTCTAGATCTATAACTCATTTTTGCCCTGTTTATAAAGAAGGAAAATTTTCATTTGTGAGGCATAATGGGCCTTCAAATCTAGACCCATCTTTTCTAGCTACACAAAAATATTCAACTTGTAAACATTTAATAGTCCCGTGCACGAAACTAGTTTATATAGTCTACAGTTAAGATCTTGAAAGGCATGCATGATTTAAAATAGTGAAATTCAACATAAGATTATTAAAAGAGATCTTGATCTAAATGAATCTACAGTAGCTAAATAAACATTCCAATGAAATTATAAATCTACCTTTCTTCTATTGTGTTGTCCCCCATTTTATACTAAGTTTTTCCTTAGTTACATCGCTAGATTCAGTATTCTTCTTTGCAGACCTTGAGGGGGTTATAAGAGATTTCTGATCTCGCGACCCTACGCTGGATAAAGTAAATGGTGTATTTTGTTCGCCACAACGTCAATGATAATCATGAATTTCATGACGTCACAAACATGACGTATTATCAGGCAGCGATTCGCGTTCACGTGCACATGATATTAAATATTAGACTAGATCATAGAGAATCCGTTTCTCAGCTTTTCAAGCACATGGTAGACATAAATTAACATTAATTTACCGTTGCAGCGCCTTGCTCGGATCCCACCATTACTGTGTGACGAAACTTTACATAATTCAGATCTAGATCTACTAGTCTAGGCCCCAATCCATTTTTTTTTATAAAAAGTGATGTCGAAGAACTTCATTCTAGATTTAATTAAAAGTCATGTCGAAAACGATTTATTAGCTCTAGAGTATACCGACCAAGTCTATCGTATCACAAAATACTTTCAAGCTTTTTATGTGAACATTTTATTTTTTAAAACAATATTTATTAACAAAGGGAACTATAGATCTATATAAACAAAAAACTTGCTCTCTTTTTTATAAATGCCTAGTTACTTTTATTTGTAGATTTTTCTGTTTAGATCTTAGTTTAAAGTTGATTGGTCTACAATTGGCATGTATTCTATATAAGTATATCTATTTCAGATATTGATAAAACCAACACAAATACTTAATTATATATTGTATTAATTAAGGACTTACCATTATAGACCAATTCACTTTAATCAGTTTTCTGCTAATTCAATAACAGATCTATATGCCGAAAACAGTTCTATTGCTCTATATTGATCTGATTTAATCGGTTACTATCAAATGTATAGCTTATAAAGTAAAATTAAAATGTCTATTTTTAGTGTACGGGCGAGGCGGAATATACCGATGATTTACCGGCTTATCCCGGACAACTACACGCAGCGTTTGTGACAAGCACACAGGCTAACGCTACAGTACAATCCATCGACACAGCCGATGCATTAGTTAGTATTTATTATATATTTTGTTATTTAATATCTAAATCAAAATCGTTTAATCTACGTTATCAATCTTTCTTAGTGAGGAAATGACGTTAAAATAAAATGAGCCGCGTCACGACAAAACCAACATAATGGGTTTGCGACCAGCATGGATCCAGACCAGCCTGCGCTTCCGCGCAGTCTGATCAGGATCCATGCTGTTCGCTATCAGTTTCACTACTTGCTTTAGGGTTTGTAAGCGAACAGCATGGATCCTGATCAGACTGCGTGGATGCGCAGGCTGGTCTGGATACATGCTGGTCGCAAACCCATTATGTTGTTTTGTCGTGACGCGGCTCAAATGTAGGTTAAATAAAAGTATAATGAACATGCTCATTTTGTAATTAAACAGTGAGTAATTTAGCAATACACGCCCAATAATATACGCCTAAAATTCACATACAGCTGCTTTTCCTCCGAAGATTTCTAATTAAAAAATAGATAAATAAAAATAAAATGATAATTTTTATACATAGATGTTGCTTAGAGCGCATGTATTCCTATCAAATGAAGATTTATTTGCTATTTTTGTGGCATATTACCTAATGAAATGATGAAATTTGCGAGATTATTGACATACAAACAGTTTACTTGTATATTCTTCGATTTCAGAAAATTCCAGGTGTTGTGAAAGTGTTGACATCATTTGATATTCCCCAAGATGCCGAAAATGACATTCAGCCTCCTCTATCAATATCAAACGAGACCGAACCCGAAGAGGTAATTTTTATATTCTATCACGCTTCACATTGTTCCCCATTCAAACAGATTTGAGCCGCGCCATGACAAAACCAACATAGTGCGTTTGCGACCAGCATGGATCCAGACCAGCCTGCGCATCCGCACAGTCTGGTCAGAATCCATGCTGTTCGCTTACCAACCCAGTTACAAGTAGAGAAACTGATAGCGAACAGCATGGATCCTGATCAGACTGCGCGGATGCGCAGGCTGGTCTGGATCCATGCTGGTCGCAAACGCACTATGTTGGTTTTGTCATGGCGCGGCTCATATGGCCGTCTAGTGCATTATTACACGATTTCTGAACAGCACAAAAGAAAACCCATCAAATATGATGCCAATAAACCAAATGACTTCTGGAAAATTACTTCTACGCTTAATGTAGTTCAGCATATTTTATCAATTCTCTTTTTATAAGCATGTATATTCATCTTTTTTGCTTTGTAGTATATAAATGCATGTTTTATCGTTCATCTTTTTTTTGTAATAATCACTCAGGCTTAATAAACCAAAGTTTAGGCGCGCGGCTTTTCTACAGTGTGACGTGACTTACTTCATTCCTTTAACGACTTGATTGTAACATTTTAATCAATATGAGCAAAATTTTTAATGTATATGTATTATCATTTGTCCAATTACTTCAAGTTTTGTCTCATTCGTTTCATTTCTCAATATAAATATGTTGCCTACATTTTGGTATTATGTTTATGATAAATAATCAAGATCTATACAGTATAACTAAATACGTCACCTGTTCTTTCAGTTGTTCTCTAGCGGGAAAGTAATGTATTATGGACAGTCGCTGGCACTAGTAGTTGCAGGTATGTACCAAACATATCATTCATCAACGTTTATATCAATTTTTTTATGAAATATAATTATAATTACTTTTTCTTTGTCAAAAACTTTTGCTGTAAAATCTTTAAAGAAACATTATTGCGGAAGACTTTTTGAACATTCAAGTGTGCCATCATATAACCACGTTTTTTCGTTTCAAAATGTTGCTGCACAGTAAATGAGCTGTACCAGTTTTCAACCTTTTCCCAGTTTCTTATTACTAGTATTTGTTTTCACAAATTGACAACTATAATTATATACCTACCTGTAAGGGAATAACTTTTGAGATCTTAAAAATTTATCAGTGTACAAGAAACGCTTTTGAACAAAGGGTATTAAGTCCTTTTCAAGCCTTGATTTGTAAAGGTATAATTAGTAATAGAAAGAGCACCGAAACACGAGGCTATCTGATTTGTACGAGGGGGCGTAGCCCCCGAGTATTAATCAGATTGCCGAGTGTTTTGGTGTTCTTTCTCTTTTGTAGCATAGTAAAACATAAAAGCACGTTCCCTGTTGTCACAATATGAAACCCCGGCAAAAATGAATCAATGAACGAACATCTGAATATGACATTTCTGTCGCTTTCCCTTTCTCTGCCGTCACAATATGTAAACCCCAGCAAAAATGAGCCAATCAATGGGCATGCTCTGGAGTGCGGGTAACTAATACCCGCACTCCAGTTAACGCTGTGTGCATGTATATGTACACGATTTAACCCTGACACATTTTCAACAGAAAGGTCTCCAAACTATGATACAATCAACAATTAATGTGTCATTAATATTTTATTATGTAAATCTAAGCTATTTTCATTTCACGTGTTTTAAGAATCGCAGGCGATAGCCGAGGAGGGAGCAGCCGCTGTAAAAGTTACTTACAACAATATAAAAACACCAGTTCTTACCATAGACGATGCCATAGCCGCTAACACTTACTTCAAGAAACCTTATCAAGACATTACCATTGGACACCCTGACCGTATGTACATGTAGATTTAAAGTAAATAAAAACTAATTTCAATCTTTGGGCAAGACATGTATTCTTGCATCTGTATAATTGTGTCATTTTAGTCACATTGTAAAAATGGCCACTCTAATACTATTCTGTATTTTAGTAATAAAAACACAAAAGCGCGCGCACACACAAAACCTGCCGAGTTTGATCAAAAGGTAGAGCAAGTATTAGCAATCCAGGGGTTTTTGTTTCAATCCTTGGGCGAGGAGAAATTTCTCAAACACATCTGATCTTAGACATTTAGTCTAATTGATCCTGTCTCTAAAAATTATTTAGAAATCATAGGATCATTATAGTCTGTCCCATCAAATTTGAATATTCCATTTGTTATTTAATACAATAGTAAAATCATTTAAATTAATGTCATGTAAACCCTGACGTCAATATCTCTAGGCATGTTTTTCATTTTTTTCATAAAGTCAGTAATATGGTCAAAATGTTAAATTATAATTTTTCCCGTTGACTTACATTGTAACCTGACGTGACGTCCATTTCAAAATGGCGGCGCCCATATAGACGTCATTTAGGGTTTGTCTCAAAATTAGCCTGAAATGTACAAAAATAGTTTAATTTTTAATCAACCTCGTTTTGTTAATTCATACCAGGCAAAAGTTCATTTCCATTTTAAATGGGACAGACTATAGTCGGTCACTTGTAGAGAAATTTTATATTACTGGTTAGTTGTCAAGGAAAGCCGGTATGGTGGATTGATCGATGAGATATGACCGAAAAAATGTGTTTTAATCCGCGTAAAAACGAGAAAAACCCGCGTAAAAACGAGAAAAACGAGCAAATAGTGTTAAAAAAATAGAGCCATAAACATGATTTTCATGGTCGATCTAGCTGCAGTAGAAAATGATTATTTAGCGTATGGTAATCTTATGTGATCTGTTTTAAAGTAACGCTTATAAATAACCTGTCATGTATATCAAAAATAATACCGTCTTATTTATGAATTATATATTCATATTCTGTTTTATTTCTTGGTAAATTCAGAGGTTATCGCCGGTGCAGCACATCAGTTGAGCGGTTCATTCAGCACAGAAGAGCAGTTACATTTTCACATGGAAACACAAGTATGTGCCTATGCATTTTCAAATAGATATTATGTATACGTGCACTCATACATATTTCTAATGTATAAAGGTGATTTTTCAGTTGTTTTCCATGTTTTGTACTCTTAAATGTTCGTCAAACAAAGAACAAATGAAAACTTAATGAAAAAAAAAGAAAAAAAGGAGAGAAAGTGACAATGACCAGAGTCAAAATTTCAAATAATGGCTAGCACGTTTTTTTAAGGTAACATAAGTTTCGTTGCATAATTTGTTATGGTGCTGTTATGTTCAAGCAGCTTCTGTGTCGTCTGTGATAATGAACGCGCTAAGTATTTGTTCTTGTTGTCATGGCAAACAAGGGATTACTAAACGTTCAGTACCTTTAAATATTGTATTTGTTTCTTGTTAAAAAAAAACAATAATTACACAAACAAGATTTTTGTGTGTGTAACTTCAAAATAAGCTTTATTTTACTAAATTCTGTCTGAGACGTGCCTTCAATAATGTAAGTAAAACTGGTAGCCCAACCCATTTGCTTTAATTAAACTGTTAATAAACTTGTTTCTTTCTCTGAATAATTTGCATCCAGTTTTGTATTTAGGTGTACTCTTTATATTACATGTAAAAGTTTTATAGTAAAGTTATCTGTACGGAATATCTATCACAATATAGTTGGACTGTAATTAAATAATCTTTGTTTTTTTTAAGTAAATAGCTTTATTATACCTCACGTATTAAACCTTTTACGTGCTATATTGAGCCAGCATCCAGGCCAAGGGAGAGTAATCAATATAGACTTAAGAAAACGTAATGTTCTAGTTCTCTCCCCTGGCCGCTGGCTCGGAAGTGACGCATGTCGTGCCTCGGTCTCGTGTTGCTTATATGCACTGTTACCCAGAGAGACATGTGTTATTTTCATATTGTATAATTCATAAATTAAAGTGAATTAGTCTATTGTAGAAGGTATTCAATATCATAAATACATATGTAATTATGTTGATAGTATCTGGTATCATACGTGACAACAAAACATGAAAGAATAATATATGAATGTTGTAGCTAAGTGGGTAATACATGATATGATATTATATAATAAATATCATTATTCATCGTATAATTAATGTTCATACTAAATCACTTCGAGCTAAATTAACTTTTTTTTTTTCAAAAGAATATCCAAAATGCTATATTTCTTTTGTTTTTATCAATAGTTTAAATACTTATTGAAAATGTGCCTTGTTAACTGTAGACCAATCACCTTTAAACGATATTTTCAAAAGAACATCACTTTGTATTTCTAGCTTTATTGATACCGCAGATTAAAATAAGTTTAATTTGCTTTAAAAACGTGTTCAAATAGCTTTAGAAAAAATGTCTGCGAAAATGCAAATGATATGTACATTTCATGTACAGTAAAATCTCGACAGAGCGGTTACCGGTAGAGCAGCAACCTCTGTTTAGCAACAAATCACCGCGACTTTAAATATAACACTTAATTTACCCTCTCTTAAGCAACACCCCTCATCAACAACCACTATCTTTGCCTTTCAAAAGGGTGATGTTCTGCAGGGATTTTACTGTATTATATACAAATAAGAACTAATATCAATTACAGGCCAGTGTATGTATCCCAACAGAGGATGGCCTTGACCTTGTATCAACCACACAATGGCCGGATTCTATACAACACTGTGTTAGTAGAGTTACAGGGATACAAAAAAGCGCGTGAGTATTCAAGTCATACACATGTATCGATAGCAATGAAAAAGAAATCACCAACTGAGAGAACCAAATCTTTTACAAGTGCCCATTCGTCTAGTGATCTGGCTAGGAAAAACCAACAACATAATAATGCGTTTTTCTTATCAATATTGGTAGTTTGTATTGTTCTTTTTTACACTTTGTCATTTTGCTACTTTTATGAAAAATAATTTCACATTCAGTGCTTCGTTGTGGTGCCGTTATATGTATATACATTGTATATATATATATATATATATATATATATATATATATATATATATATATATATATATTTAACGGTAGTGTTGCGACATTTAACGGCAAAGGAAAATCGTCATTCAAGTACAAATGCGACATTCAAAGATATAACATTTGCGACCTTTAGCATTGGTTGCGACATTAAGCGGTAATGGTACGGCATTTAGCGGCAAGGGCGACATTTAGCGGCGTTGCAACATATAACGGCGCCATTTACGTTCTAAATTAAAGTAATTATTTACTAGTGATGAAACTCATAGTTGCCCTTTTTAAAGAAGAAAAATAATATTCGTTTCTGAGGCATAATATGTCTTGAAATGCTATAACATTGATAAATAAATTTACTAATTGTATGCATCTATTGGTCAAGGCATTAAAAAGTATGAAAAATAAGACTTTTTTTATTCATAAATAAGGTGACTTATATAGGAAAGGACAAGATAAAAGAAATATATAGCTAACATAGATAAACAAACTTAAATATAATCAGAAGTCTGATTATATAACTGATAAATATCAGCACTATTCCAAGTATCAACGTCCAGCATTGGTTGTTGTCGATACATTACGACTATCATTAACTCGTGAAAAATCGGCTTATTTCGTCAATCTTTGTATCCGCAATAGTCCTTATAATCGCCTGTATGACCATGATTTACGCATAATATGTGTCAATTTAATGCTTTCCGATATAATACTTAAACAGGGAAGTCAATCAAATTGATACAAATCATTGAAAAAGCAAAAAAAAAAAAAAACAAAACAAAAAACAAAAAAAAAAAAAAAAAACCCCCCCCCAAAAAAAGAAAAAAGAACAACAACAAGAAACAACAACAACAAAAAAACACAAAAAAAAAATGAAGATAAGATGTCATATATCATAGTGATAATATATTGCAGTATAAATGTAACTGTAAGAAGACTTGGTGGAGCGTATGGCGGGAAGATAACCAGAAACAATTTTGCTGCTGCGGCGTGTGGTCTGGCCGCCAAAATTACCAACAGGTGCGCCATTAATTAATATTTGTCTATTGTTTAAACGTTCATCTTACATTACAGAAATAAAACGTCGGTAAATTCAATATATTCAATATATGTATGTTGAATAAAAAATTAAATTGCGTATATTGAAAAAGGATTAATAAAATGATATGACTTTTATGTATCATAAAAGTAAAATGATATAGTCATTTGTGAAGAAAACTATCTGTCTATTGTTTCCACTTTTGTCATTTTTTTTGATTTCAGGCCAGTTAGAATGAGACAAACGATTCAGAGTAACTACATAATGTTAGGTCGCCGTTACCCACACAAAATAAATTATCGCGTTGGTTTTGATGACAGCGGTAAATTGCTCGGACTTGATGTGAAGTTTTACGAAGGGCTGGGATGCCTACCTGACGAGAAGTCCGCTGCTGCGTTTCCAGGATGCATTGATAATGGTTTACATATTTTAGTGTTTCGTATCTCTTTTATTTATCATTTTTATTTGTTCCTTAAAAATGAATAAACGCGGAATTATACGATATTTTTTCGTGATAATATGATTAAAAAATGATATTCTTCTAACAAACATTTCATTAAGGAAACTCCACTGAGGTCCAAAAATCTAAAAACATAGTCTTGATCCATGCTGGTCGCAAACCCATTATGTTGGTTTTGTCGTGACGCGGCTCATATGTGTATACACGTCAACGAGGTCGTTTATTTTTAATGTTTATCTTTGATTTGCGGTAAGAACTCTTAAATTTGCTAGAGCAAGTTATATATTTATGTATTTAAACAATAGAAAATAATAACTAATCTATCTGTAACTTTAATTATGGCGCACAAAAACTTACCGGAACCATATATGAATTTCTTGAGATATTTAGTTCTGTTTTATATATATTGTTCTCCGGTTTCAGCAAATGATACATTTTCATAATACTTTACATTTATATCAACCGTCTTTTTTCAAAATCTACAATTTTTTGTTTGAAAAAAAAAAAATGTTTTAAAAATATTTTCTTATTTTTCTATAGTAATTAGAGGGTATAAATTATTTTTATTCAAGCTTATTATTGTCCGAACTGGAAGATGAGTATGGAAGCTATGCGGATGAATACAGCCATGCACACTTCAACAAGAGCCCCTGGTAAGTAATTCGGTTACGTTTTATTGATTGCAAACCTTGTGAAGCCTTGACCTACTAAATCTGTATAGCGGTTTGTCCTGCTTTTTATTTGCGACAGTCCATTGGTACTTCAATATCAAAATAAAAAATGAGCTACAAATCAGTATAAAGTCTGGTACACAGGTGCTTGAAACAAACTTTTTAAAGTTTTATATGGGCTATAAACTATAATAAGATATAAGGTCTCCCAACAGAACAAAAACATCATGCTAAACAAACAAGAACACTGCTGCAAGAAACGACCAGATCACGGTTATCTCTTTCTGGCCGACATTCGAAAGGATCAATCCAAGCGTTAAAAATCGACCAGAAATCGTGTTTGTATACATAAGTGGTATGGCATCGAAAACGACATGAATTGAAAATAATGGTATTTTGCGAAACTTTTCCCAATTTCTTTGCTATTTGAGGGATTTTAATGAAATAAAAAGCGTTAGTACTTGGATTGATGCTTTCAAATGGCGACCACAAAGAGATAACCGTGATCTGAGCAGTGTTCTTGTTTGTTCCGCATGATGTTTTTGGTCCGTTGGGGGCCTTATATCTTTACAGTATATACATATATTGACCGGTTATGTAAAATATTTGATTATGTGACTAGCGCCTGTGGTCTGGTAGGGCTGACCATGCTCTGTAAGGCCACATGTGTCACAAATCACATTCGTCACAATTGTGAAGAATGAGATCACATTCGTCACAAATTTTGTGATGCATGTGATCCAATGTTTTAGACAATCACATTCGTCACGAGTTTAAAATCACAAATGTCACAAATTTGAGATAAATATTGTTTTCTTCAATGCTTTTCACTGAGTCACAAACGTCACAAATTTTTAGGACTGAAATCAATTATTGGAACTAAAACTACAGACATTTTTATCCCCTCCCCCGCTGATGAAATCGGGAGTGATGGGACTGTTTTAGCGTGTTCGTCCGCCTGTCAGTCCAGATTTAGTTTCCGCACTATCCGGCCATTGATTAGTTATTATACACTGTATATTGGAATCATTTCGTTTCCACGCTATTTTTCAGCAACTTCTGGATGGATATCGATGCTGCAACTTTGTAGGAACCTTCATTCACAAACCAGTTGCACATATAACCAGCATATCTCCATTTCTTTTTTTAAAAACAGACTTATTG